TTTTTCTAAAACAGACAACAGAACTTTTCTATCCAAATGAATGTCCTCCCATTGAAAGTGGCTGTGCTGGAGGCCACGTGTTTCTCCTGTGGCGATGGTATTGCTGAGAGCTTGCTAGAGGCCTTTAGGAAAACCTCCACGAGTGCCACAGCACCGTTTTTCACTTTTTCAGTGTCTCTGTCCGAGTGTGGATATTCTGCTTTCAAGCAGCCCAGCATTTGGAAGGATACTTTCTAATGTGGCTCATAAACTGCCTATGAAGGCCTGTCCCCAAAGAGCAGCTCCAAATGATGTCCCAGCAGTGGTTCATTGTTGGAGCCAAGAATGTAACTACTGGGAGGGAGAAATGTTCACTTAGATTTCTACATTCTCTGTTTTATTAAAGAGAAAGAATTGCAATTAAAAAAAAAAGTTGTTCCTTCTGAAACCCGTATCCCATTTAGAAGTATCTAGTTCTAGTCACAACTACTCCTATTCCAATCCAACTTCCTGCTAATGTGCATCCTGGGAAGCAGCAGGTGGTAGCTCAAGTACTTGGATCCCTGCAATCCATGTGGGGGACCTGGGTGGAGTTCTGGGCTCCTGGCTTCAGCCTGGCTCAGCCCTGGCTATATAAGATCTTTCTCTCTCTGTCAAATGAAAATAAAATAAAACACAGGCATCTATCCTGCCTGTGTTGCATTGTCTGTTTTCTTATTGCCTTTGGCCCAAGTGCTAAGCAAATAGCATTTATTTTGGGTTCTGTTAAGTCAGCCTCACTTCTGATAGTAAATTCAGTGTTTGTTTGGCTGCTTCCACAGAGAACAGATAACCATGCTTTTAGAAATGATAGACAATGTATTTCCCTCTCACAGAAAAATCTTACTTGCAAGGTGACTAAGAAGTAGGGAAGCTCTTCTCAAAGAAGTCATCCAACTTTCTTCTCTCTTGTTGCTTTACCATTCTTCAGAGTGCTGTTGTCATCTGTTCGGCTAAAGGTGGCTAATCAATATTTTATCTGTGTTCTGGACTATAGAAACAGAAAAAAAAGGAAGTGAAAACAAGAAGTTTCTTTTAAAGAATGTGACACAGATTTCACACATTCAAGATGTACCAGAGTTGGCTTGAATCAGCTTGCACCACCTTATACTAAGCATTGCTGAAGGTTCAAGAATTCTGCGAGGGGTGGACATTTAGCCTAGCAGTTAAGATGCTGGTTAAGATGCTCACATCCCACATCAGAGTACCCAGGTCTGATACTGGACTCCGTCTCCTGACTCCAGCTTCTTGCTAATGAGAGGCGATGTTGATGGCTCGAATGATTGAGTTTCTTCTTATGTCAGAGACTGGATTGACTTGCCAGCTCTTGGCTTCAGCCTGGCCCAATCTTAGTCATTGTATGCATTTGGGGAGTGAACCAGTATATGGCAGCTCCCTTTCTCTGTATCTCTTATACCCTTCATTTCTCCCTTTCAAATAAAACACAAATTAAAAAAAAAAATAACTTAGTGAGTTAGTTGTGAAACACACACATTATTAAAAGTTAAATTATATAGACTTACCATTAAATAACTTGTATTACAAATGAAGTAAATATCTAAAACTCATCTTTTATTTTTAAAAAATATTTTGCTATTATCTGTGCTATCAGGGTTATTTACATCTTTGTTATCTGTATCGTAGGAATAATATATAACAGTATTCTGCAAATCTCTTCAATGGTAGATTGAAATCAGACCCTGATGGGAGTATTTATATCACAGAAGTCAGCAAATGATTCACATCACACCCCCATTGCCCCAACAAGAGCTGGTTGTTAAATATTTACAGGTACACACATTACTTCCACTCTTTGACCAGAATTGGTCACACCTAGCTGCAAGGGAGGCTGGGGTGCATTGTCTCCAGCTAGTTGGCCATATATTTATCTAAAACTTCAAGATTTTATTTTCAGGAATAAGTGAAGAATGTATGTTGTTGGACAGTTAGTATTCTCATGATTTAATGTAGAAGAGTAACCTCTGTACAGGTTTCTATACCTGAGATCCACTCTGTCACTAGTTTATTAGCAGAGGTAATAAATTCAAAACAGAAATTTTAATACCTATCTAGTCTGCAATCACAGAGAACTCCATACCTGGCTCTGTGTTTAGAGATACCCAAATTAAGACATTGAATATACTTGGGAATAAAACAAAGTCTGTGCTTTTGATTTTCTAAGGAACTGGAATTTGGGAATACCTAGCCCTTGGCTCCTCTTTCTTTCATCAATCCAGTTCCTAAAAAGGGCAGTCTTGTTTGTTTTAAGTCAGTGGATATATATTTGAAATGCAGAGAGACATAGATAATCAGAGAGTGAAAGAGTGAGAGAGCAAGAAAGAAAGTGAGAGAAAGAGACAGTTATATTTCTATCTATTGGTTTACTCCCCAGATGCCAGGCTGGAAGCTGGAACCTAGGATTCCATCTGGGTCTCCCACGTGGGTGACAGGAAACTAAATACTTATGTGCTGGTTCTGTGAATATTGTTTCACATAATATACCGAACTCTACAGTCCAGTTCTGAATAAAACATCTAAGAAAAGATAGTTCCATTGACTGGATGCGATGCTTAAATATTTGCTTGCAAAGTAATCATTCGTGCTAGATGTTAGCTTTTTCATTAAATTGTAATGAGCATGTTGGTACCATGTAGTATAGTCAGGGACATGAATTGTACATATATTACTTATATTAAATGAGTGTTGTATCCAAACATTTTATCTTTTAAAATCATGTTAGGACTGAAAGGAAAAAAGCCAGGAGTAAAACTATTTGCAGAATCATGGATGTTAAAGTGCTTACTTCCTCCAAAAATTGTGGTTGCATATTTTTAACAGCATTTTCCCTCAGGAGATCAGAAAAGCCATTATAGGGTTATGGACGAATTCTTGGTGTTTGATGATAAGAATACTAATGCTTCTGTGGATTTAGTAGAGCTTTAAAAGGCTATTGAGATAAATAACGTGTTTAGGATGTGGACATTTGGATTCTAGAAGGAAGGAAAATAAAATTAAAAATACATTTTAAATATTGATTTCTAATTTTTGATCCTTGGACACAGTTCTTTCAATAATATTAATTGAGCACATACTATATGTAACGTGATGTTAAACGCTAAAATAAACACATTAATGTCCTCAAGGAGCTTGCAGTCTAGAAGGGAATAAGAAAGAGCTATTTTAACTCAACTGTTTATAAAAATATTGAGGCCATGGGAAGGCAGTAGAAGATGGCCCAAGTGCTTGGGCCCCTGCACCTGCATGGGAGACTGGTTTCGGATCTGCATAGCTCCAGCTGTTGCAGTCATTTGGGGAGTGAACCAGGGAAGGAAGACCTCTCTCTCTGTCTCTGCCTCTGTCTGTAACTCTACCTTTCAAATAAATAAATGAAATCTTTAAAAAATATATTGAGGCCAAATACGTGCTGATTGTTCAGCATTTAAACCAGAAGTTGAGGTTGGTGCTGTGGCGCAGTGGGTTAAAATCCTAGCTTGCAGTGCTGGCATTCCATATGGGTGCTGGTTTGAGTCTTGGCTGTTCCACTTCCAATCCAGCTCTCTGCTAATGCACCTGGGAAAGCAGTAGAAGATGGCTCAAGTGCTTGGGCCCCTGCACCCACGTGGGAGATCCGCAAGAGGCTCCTGGCTCCTGACTTTGGGTTGGCCTAGCACTGGCTGTTGCAGCCATTTGGGGAGTGAACTAGTGGATGGAAGACTCCTCTTGCTCTCTCTGCCTCTGCCTTTCAAATAAATAAAATAAATCTTTTTTTTTTTAAGTGGAAGCTATCTTTCTTAACAAGTTGGGAATGCCCGAGTTAAGAGATTCGTAATAGCAGGCAGCAGATATGTAATTCCTCAATTTCTTAAACATTGAAAGAGTATAGCCTGAGTGCCCTCATTTAGAAGAGAAGTCTTTCATAATGAGCTGGCTTTTTCCCTATAGGCGCCAAATTAGGAGAGGAGGGAGAGTAGATAGTTCTGAGCTGATAATTGTCTATAAGCATCTTGAGATCCTGCTTTTAGCTAAGATAGGAACCAATTTCAGGGATTTATTTGTATTTCCAGCCTTTTTGCTTCTTTTACCTTTTGAGGCTCTGGAGAGAGAGAGAACTGTGGAGAACTGATACTACAGTGTGAGGTGGAAAGAAGAATTAGAGAAAGTGAAAATACTAAGTTGATTTACACATGAAAACTTGCAGAACTATTGCCAGAAGAGAAGAGTTTGGACTGGCTGGAGAGTTTGGTGAGAGGAGGGAGATGAGGGAAGCTACCCTAAATGAATGTGAGTGATGCCTGAAAGAGGACTTTGTGGAAGTCTAGCGCCCCATTGAGGTACAGTTCTTCTCTGCTTCATGAAGAGACCAGGAAATACTTACATGCGGTTGCAAGGCATTTTAGGGTCAGACTTGTGTGTGTCTGTGTGTGTTGTTTGTTTGTTTTGTGTGTGTGTGTGTGTGTTTTCTTAAGATTTATTTTATTTATTTAAAAGTTGAGAGTTATGGGGTGGGGAGAGAAAGAGAGAGAATCTTCTATCTACTGGTTCACTCCTCAGATGGCCACAGCAGCAAAGGCCGGGCCAGGCCAAATCCAGGAGCCAAGAGTGTTTTCAAGGTCACTCACATGGGCAGCAGGGGCACAAACACTTGGGCCATCCTCTGCTGCTTTTCCCAGGCTATTAGCAGGGAGCTGAATTGTAAGTGGAGCATCTGGGACACAAACTGGCGCCCATATGGGATGCTTGCATAGCAGGTGGCAGCTTTGCCTGCCATACCACAGCACCAGCCCCTGTGTTGTTTGTTTTGGATTCCAGTCCACTATCTACTACACCATGGGCCTTAAACAATGGTTAAGAGTGGATACTTGAGAGTAAAAGGAAAAAAATTCTATTAACATGCAAATAAAATACCATTTCACCATAAGCAAGAGAGTCTGCTTTCCTTTTCTGTTCTTTTTTCACTGATACATTCACTCTTCTGGTTCTAGATGTGGAGAAATGGAAAGTGCCACAGACCAGGAATGAAGAAATTTGGAGTTGGAGTCCTTGGTTCCACTTACTAGGCCATGGAACAAGTCACCTCACTGTTCTGAGTCTCAGTTTCCTCATATGGGCAAGTATTTGCTCTGCTATTTGACAGCATTATGTGAGTTGAAAGTGTGAACCTTACAGTGTTTGGTTGCTATTTTATCTTCCACTTCCTGAGGGCCTTGCTGAAACAGTGTTCTCTGACTTACTAGCTGGTACAACCCTGCCCTTCTTTCCACAGATAGTCATATCTCTATGTAGAGGGCTTTGAAAGATTAAACATACTTCAAAGTCCACAGGATTGATAGAATTGCTGCATAAGAACAGACTGCATGATGTGGGGTGGAAGTGGATTTTTTTAAAAAAAGATTTATTTTATTTATTTGAAAGAGTTACAGAGAGAGGTAGAGACACAGAGAGAGGTCTTCCATTTGCTGGTTTATTCCCCAACTGGCCGCAACGGTCTTAGCTATGCCGATCCAAAGCCAGGAGCCAGGAGCTTCTTCTGGGTCTCCCACATGGGTGCAGGGGCCCAAGGACTTCGACCATCTTCTACTGCTTTCCGAGGCCATAGCAGAGAGCTGGATCAGAAGAGGAGCACCAGGACTAGAACCAGCGCCCATATGGGATGCCGGTGCTTCAGGCTAGGGCTTTAACCAGCTGTGCTACAATGCCGGGCCAGATGTGTTTTTTTCTAGTATATCACATAGGTAGCTGTTTCTCTTACTCAGGGAGAAAAGTAAGCATAAAATGTCATCCCAATGTTTAATCTTTTCTATTTTGGATGTAACCTTATTATAAATAATGGTATTAATTTTCTACTTAAACCATAACTCTCTTCCCTCTCATTTTTTCAGTTCTGTGTTCAGCCTTATATGACAAATTGGCAGAATTTCTCAGAATTTGACTTCCCAGAGCGTTCCCTGTAAGTATGCAGAAAGTTAACATTTGATTGTTCATTCACTCACAGTGTAATAAATCAGAAAGCCTAATTAAAAAAGAAGTTTAAAATCTAGATGATAACAAAAATAATGAAAATGATTTCATCATTTTCCAGATTTAGTGGTTAATACTGGGCATATATAATCCAGGATGTTTATACTGGAAGTGTTGTGGTTTTTATTAGAAAATAAGAATACCCTACCTTGTACTTCTAAGGTGAATATATGTTATAATGGATTAGAACAGGAAAAGGAAGTCACTGAAAAAGAAGCTTGGACACCTGAAATGCAAGGTAATGAGAATCACAGGTAATTTTTTATTTTGTTATTTAGACTTTTCCATCCTTAAAAAGAGAGAACATATAACTTGAAAAGAAATAATAATTCCTTAAAACTAAATGTGAGGGAAATACCTACTTTTATAATTTCAGAGACTTCTTTGATGCTTTTTTTTTATTTGACAGGTAGAGTTATAGACAGTGAAAGAGAGAGAAAGAGAGAAAGGTCTTCCTTCTGTTGGTTCACTCCCCAAATGGCGGCCATGGCTGGAGCTATGCCGATCCAAAGCCAGGAGCCGGGTGTTTCCTCCTGGTCTCCCATGTGGGTGCAGGGCCCAAGCACTTGGGCCATCCTCCACTGCCCTCCCAGGCCACAGCAGAGAGCTGGACTGGAAAAGGAGCCACCAGGACTAGTAGCCGGCACCCCAACCGGGACTAGAACCCGGGGTGCTGGCGCCCAGGATTAGCCAAGTGAGCCACGGCGTCAGCCTGATGCTCTTAAGATTACTGAATTTAGGAAGTGTCTTTAGTAGTAACTCTTTAGGCCAAATCCTTCATTTTGCAAATGAGGCTATTGAGAGCAGAGAGCCACAGGACCTTGGTGAAGACTACATAGTGCGTGAGTTGGCAGATCCTGACGTGAAACTCAAGTTTTCTTGTGTCTCATCCCATATTTATTCCAGTGTGTTCCAATCCATTCTACATGTCCATCTTTACTGCCTATGAAATACTGGAGGTATGGTGACTTTAAAAGCACATGGTCCCTGTTACAGTTTTTTTTTTTAATGTGACTAGATCTTGCTGTATTTTTAAACTCAAACTATACCATACAATGATAAACAATTCTCTATGATAAACATCAGGGTAGCAGCTCAAAAGGCAGGGTGTAGGGTTGCTGGCTTGCTGGTTTAGGTGGTGGAAGGGGATTGTTGTGTTTGGTGCCCTGGGGGTTGTTACCGGGAGCACAGCACAGTCTTCTAGCCTTTCTAAACATTTTGTAAGCTTCTGTATATTCCTTTACGATTCCCTTCTTGCTTAAACTAGAATAGATTTTGAAATGTGAAACCTAAAACTAGTACCATAAACCTACCTAAAGCATCCTAGCCAATAAAAGGCAGTTCTAAGGCTTGAAGTCAGGTTTGATCCTCTAACTTGACCCTCTAACCTCTTTGACTCCAAAGTCTTAAAAAGAAAAGGGGAAAAAGTCTACCTTGACCTTATTCCAGAGTGGATTTATTTAGTTTTTTAGAAGTAATTTTACCGTAAATCAAGAGGTCTTGGGAAGTCAAATTCTCTAATCTGATGCATTACTGTAAGAATTGTGGGTTCAAATAAAAAGAACTGGAGTCATGAGCAGGACAGAAAAGGAACCTTGTTCTTCATTTGTCAATGCTGCATTGACAGGAGCTTGAGATGGCCTAGATGTTAAAGGAAAGAGGTTGGACTGGCAGAGGATACCACAGCAACAAAGAGAGTAAGCAGATGCTACTGGCACAGGCTTGTTCCTGCAGAGTTAGCAATAGGAGCTCTAAGTAACCCCAACAATACTCTGAAGGAGCATTGAAATACCATTAGGCTCTGTGGGACTTCAGATTGTAGCATTTTCTTGTTACAGATCATTTAATGTAATTATATTTCTTTATCATAAAAATTGCTTGCATCTTGGTATGGCCAGGGTGCATTCAAGTTTGGGAATTGTTGCCAGTCTACTAAGCAGTCCAGTAGAAATGACTGTCTAAGTTTCTTATTGAAGGCTCATACTGGAGAATGAACAAAAAAACCTATGCAAACTTTTCTACTACAGATACATTAATCCTAGGGGTATTTTTAGATAGTACATAAGTTTTAATGTTTTTATAATAAGGTCATGTGAAACCAAATAACTCCTATATGTGAGATGGGCTTGTCTTTAGGGATAATCACACAAAGAATCTTTATTACAAACATTGAAAAGCAAAGTGCAATTTGCTTAATACTAGCCTACACAGTGGAAAAGAATTGCTTTCGCTTCTCTTGGGTACTTTAATCTCAATTCTGACAAAATGAAGGCCTGTTGGCAATTTAACAGTTCCTTGGCTTTTAGCTGAAAGAAAATCAAATAAATGGAGTGCTGCTAATGCATGAAGTATATGTGCAGTCTTGCAGGACTGTAGTTAACTTGTTTTTGAAACAGAAGAAAATATATTACAACTTACTTCATTGAGGTTTTATTCTCTACATTGTTTTATCTTCATTATGTTATACTGATACCTGTTATCCTCAAAGTTGTTTGTATATTGACCTTGCCACTGTGAAAAAAAAGTAAATGAGAATCACACGTTCTCTTAATTTTTGCATTCATATTTTGCTCTGTTTAAGAATTATGCAAACTCACTCCAAACAAGACTTCACAGGTATGGTTGCCACACAGTGTGGCACCTTCATGTGTGCACACTTTCCTGGACTCCAGGAGCCTGGGTGTCAATGTTTATGACAGGACAATGTTCATGACAGGATGTCTCTTGGGCACAGGTCCTCTAGCCCCTGTTTTTGTTACATGAGTTCTGTTGTAATCTGCAGGGTTGAGATATGGGTCCTGGTCCCTGTTTTCAAGGCCCCATCCTCCTGTGTATGTTCTGCATGTTGGCTGGGAGAGGCGAACCGGGGACTCGTGAAGTAGAGCTGGCTCCATGAAATGGCAATGTATATATATGTAAATAAACTGAGAACTCTTTTTAAAAAAATCAGCACAGGATCTAAAGACGTATTTCTCCAAAGAAGACATAAATGCCAATCAAAATCATAATGAGATATCATTTCATATCCCCTAAGATGGCTACCATAGAAATAATAATAAACAGATAATAAGTGTTGGTGAGAATGTAGAGAAATTGGAACCTTCATAGTTTAAACATAGAATATTGAGCATCATATGATCCAGCAATTCTGCTCCTATGTAGATACCCAAGAAAAATAAAATAAATGTCCATACTAAAACTGGTACATGAGTGTTCACAGGATAATTTTCAAGATAACCCTAAAAATAGAAACAACAAAAATGATAAATGGATAAGTAAAATGTGCTATGTCTATAGTTTGAAATTTTATCCAGGAAAATAAATAAAGTATCAATGTATGCTACAACATAAACAGATCTTGGTAACATACTAAGTGAAAGAAGCCACTCATGAAAGACCAAACATTTTATGATTCCATTTATATGAAATGTCTAGAACAGGGACTTCCACAGAGGCATAAAGTAGATTAGTTCTTGCCTAGGGCTGGAGGATTAGGAGAAAATGTGAGATGACTGCTAATGGTTACACAATTTTTTTTTAGGTGACAAAAATGTTTGAAAATTGATTATGGTAAAGGTTGCAAGCTGTGTAAATATAATAAATGCCATTGAATTATACACCTCAAGTGCATGAGTCTTATGTAAGTTATCTCTCAATGAAACTCATATACACACAGACACACATGTTATGGGATTAAGAAAAAATTGTACAAAATTAAATCAAAAGAAAGTGTCGCTCCCCCTCTTCGTGGAGGAACGACACAGGACCCTGCATTGTTCTTTTGTCTGCTCGGCCCTCCCCGGGTTTGCTGCTGGTTCTTGCCGGGTTGGCTACCAATCCTTCCACCTCTGTGGAAGGGCGGTGCCCCCTGCCACTTTTCCCCACTTCTGCGGGGGAGCGGCACACCGCCGGCCGGCTCTCTCGGGGGCTGCACAGGTGTTCCCTCAGATGTTCCTGGTGCATGTTGTCTCTCTCCTCCTTTATAGTCCTCTTCCGCCAATCCCAACTCGGCTGCCCACACGCCGAGTATGCTGCTCTCCTCCAATCAGGAGCAGGATCAGCTCCTGGAGGTCATCACTCAAGTTGGCA